ATCATATCTCAATTATTTCAAATGGAACGAGGGTGGCATGGAACGATTAGCATATTTGGAAAAAGCATTTTTTTACGAATAATTTGATACCACGCACTTGGTATTTTGACTCAAATTGTCGTCATAAATAACATGTTACAACTTCAAATAAATCATATTCGAAAACGTCAAAAGTTTCAATATTATATCGTCGGTGAAATGTGATAAACTGCTAACTCCATTATTCATAAATTTATGTCCGCGACTTCGAGCAATTACCATGAGCCTATATGAACAATTTCACATTGCGTATGCTCCGTCCGGATGAGCTATCTTGAAAAAACATCCGCGCGGACGCTCCGTGCGTATGGTCCTCTCTAAAAGCGCTGTTAGAGAGAAATGAACCGGTACAAAAAATATGTACACATGTAGAAAGTATATACATGCGAATAATATTTGTTGGATAACAATAAAACTCAATATTTCTTTAAAAAATTTAAGTAAAAATGATGTAATTAACATATCATTCAATTAAAATCAAAAATGGAATTAGCAGGTTATCACGTTTCACTGACGATATGTCATTCTATTCAGAGTGTCATTTTCTATCGAATAAAGTAAAAAAAATCACCGAAGGGGTAATCAAAAATCAAAAGTTGTAGTAATTTCTGGTGAAATTCCGAGTAAATTCCGAGTAATTTCTGGTGAAACTGTGACCGAAAACAATTGAATACGTCAATCAATCCTAATTTATGTCATATACTAACATACCAAATCTCGTTTTTTTCACTGAAATAAAAAGTGAGCCACTTTTGAGACGCACCCGGTATTGTAGAAGTAATCTGTAAACATACTTAAATAATAATATATTGTAAACTATTAAAACTTATAAGCCATGTTAGGACCTTGCAGCTGTAGTGGAAGGTTGAAACAGAAAATACGATAGAAACTCATAAATTTTAGACTACCCTGAATTTGTAAACTTACAAGAAATAAGAAGTTTATGTTAAGTAGCTTAAGAAATTTCAAAAATATTTAAAGACTCATAAAAGGGATAAATATAACATACTCTATTTTAGTGTACATAAATATGTACGTTAAGGTGCAAGATTAGAATCACAGATGTAAAGGGTACCTAATATAAAAAAAATCATAAATTTGTTACGTTTCACACGAATGAGATTTTTAAGCAACCACCTTTTTTGAACAAAATTTTATTTAGTTCAAGGAGCCTCGGAATATTCTTACTTCAAAGGAGAACATTAAAAATCTCGTTGAGGCTTTGTGAGGTGAACTTCGAGATTTTATGTTGATATTGGAAAAGCAAATTCAGTTCTTATTCAATCTATTTAGGATCAGGTTTTTAACAAAGCTTCCGAGTTTTCACGAACCTTTTATCAGTGATAAATTACGTAAATATTTATATATTTTCAATTTTTGTTTATTAAAAATATTCTTTATTAGGCAAGTATAAATGTGTATTAGGAGCATTTCATAATTTGTAGACTTTTTTAACTATATTATTAATTAGGAAATGTAACAAAGTTATGTAAATAGTTGAAAGGAGCTTAGATTTTCAGATCATGCAAGATGTCTATTATTCTAATGATTCTGACACATTCTAAGTTTTGTCAAAAAGAAGATGAAGATAGGATTACATTATACTTCGTGCTGTCGGAATATCAGATTGGTGCTCTTGTAAATATCTTGTAATTGGAGAATATTATAGGTCGCCTGATATATCATTTATTACAGTCTTACTTCAGATTCAGTAAGAAATTTTAGAGAAAACTGCACGTAAATGTTTTTAAAGGTTTTCAATTGACGAAAACTATTTTTTGCGCAATGTGTTTATGGTTTATTTAAATATTACTACTAACAAAACATTTCCTGATATTATAGTTTCATGTTTATGTATCAAATGGTACTTTATGTGAAAACATGAAAACGAAAAACTATTTGAATAATTATTTATTTATTTATATTAACACGAATTATAATTATAAATAATAGAGCATAAGTTAAAGATTTAGCGAAAACTGTTATAAAGCCTATGTACCATTGATGCATTTTATTTATTTAGTTAATATATTAATTTATGTTCTTTCTTTTTTAGATATGATGATATCAAGTTGTTGTTTTAGTGATATTTGATATGTGAAAAATCAATGAAATAAATTTGAAATGATTAATGTGGTACATAGTAAAAAATTAACTAGTTTAAGATATTTCTTTGATTATTAGATTTATAAGATTATTGAGAAATATACGATATTTTTTTCTAAAAATAAGAGAATATATTTAATTAATTCACCGTATACTTGCTGGATATTCATTACCAAATTTACAGTAAAACTTGCATTTATTTCACTTTCCACTATATATTTTCTTTGAAAATGTACGTTTTGCAGAGCTTTTGTTTGTTGGCTATAGCTAAATTTATTGTACGGCATGTATAGATTTTTTAATGTTAGTGGATGAATAACCATGTTACACCATAATAACATCTAAACACAATGCACAATGAATTTAATTTACCATAGAAAGTGAACCTGTAGCACAGAGAAAAATATGTAGTGTTTTTAATGAAAATATGCAATGGAAAGAAAAATAAACTTGGTACTTAATTTTTTTGGAAGTTTAAGAAAATATATATTTATATACATAGATTTGTTTGTTTTGTTTATATACAAAGATTTATTTTTTTTGAAATCGGAAGAGGATAGTTGATAGATTGTGTGCACACGAACATCAAGAGCTACCAGCCAACGGAATGCGATCTTACGTTATGGGTATGCGCATAGTGTACTGTTCCGGTAATTCCCTGGAACAAATCAAAGCCACAACATTCAAAATATGGCGGGATAAGGATTTAGTTGGTACAGCAATATCTTTAAAAATGTAAGTATTTTATTCTTTATTAAAACTTACAAAAACTTATAGGTAACTGTTAATATTTCGTGCAGCAATTCTTAGATTTACATGAAATCTCTTCATGAAGATTCACAACTAATTCTAGTTTTATATATAGAAGCTGAGTTATTTTAATTTATTTTGAAACTAAATTTTAATAAAATGCAACCATAAAAATTATATTCATTTTGCTAGGTAGAGAATATTTTATGTACAGTTAATTTTATGCCTAAATACTTTAGGAACTAACATTTTAGTAAATATTAGTCTCACCAAACAATCTATAGGTTGTCCCATTATTCCGTGGACAGAGAACTACTACGTATTATTTGGAATCAAAATAAGTTTATTAGGCACAATTAACCTCTATACAAAAGGGTTTCGTTTGTCTGTGAGAGGACATCAATCAAAATTAAATCTGAACGTTAAATTTATTAATTTTTTAAGCAACTAGACATATTTTTGCAAACTAGATTATTAGAGCACAATAGATTTTATGCGCGTCCATAGCTTGATGCGACAAAAATCATTTTTTGGAAGTAACGTTTGGAAACATATTTTTTCCTCAAAAAATATGCGCGGTGGCGTTTTTTTACAAGAGACAAAAATGTAGTAAATACTAGAGGGACCATTTTACGGAAAAAAAATTGATCGTCGGTTGAGTTGGAAAATTGTTATACTTAAATTTATATGTAGGGTTTTCACCCTTCCCGTATTTTTTCTTGATTTTTGTGAAAGTTAAATGTTAAAGCACTTAACAAAACATAGACATCCAAAATCTCATTGAAACGGAATAACGGTTAAAATATCCTAAAAATGTGTTTATTAAAGTTTGATGGCCTCAAACGGACAAATGTAGCACTTTTGAATAGAGGTTGTAGAATATTGGGATACACTGTATAAGTTTCAAAATTGATTCAAATATTTATTCTAGTCGGTGATTACTCTAAAATGTTCACTCACATAATATCAATTAATTTATTACGTATATAGCAAAATGTGTATAATATGAAGTCGAATTTGCTAAGGTTAACTTTTAATTGGCGTATAAAGGGATCTATTAGATTTGATATTGAAATATTATAAATTAAGTACCTACCGTATCTGTTGTTGATTGTTCATCAACAAAGTCATAGAATGTAAAATATAAAAAAATATAGTAAACTTGAAATTTTTTGAAATTAAAAATTTTGAATTATGATCTCCGTCTTTTGAATTAAGAATTTTGTCTCCATAAAGAAAAAAACTTAAATTTTATAAAATTTTCTAGAACGACGAAACATGAACAGTTGAAATAGACAATAAGTACAGAATAATACAAGAAAAATATAAATAATTAACTTTCACTTTGTCATTGTTGTACCAACATTCTTGTGCAATTTTAATGCATGATGTTATTTGTAAAAAATTACTTGAGAAAAGAATCTTAAATTCTTTCCTAGTTAATTTTTTAAAATTCACATTTAAAATGAATGATCTTCTAATCTACTATGTTGGAATAAAAATGGAAATAAATGTTAGTGATGAATTTTCTGCATGTTAGTTACTATAAAATAACTATTTTTACGCAAACGTGATTATAGTAGTTAAATTTATTTTTAAAAAATATTAAGTTATAAATGTCTAAAAAGATTTTCTTAAAATACATGCATTTAATAAAGAAGTTAAATATAAAATCTATTAGACAGAATATAAAATCTATTTGAAAGTTTAGCATAAAAATTTATTAAAGCGTTAATAAAGCTGTAAAAATTAAACACTTGTTAATTATAAAAGCTAGTTTATGTTGATAAATAACGTTTGCATGTCAAAGTCTAAGGAGCGTAATAGAAGTTATTAATTATTAAACTACCATTAAGATTAATCCTGCGATATGACTACATTATACATATATAACTGATTAATACTAAATTACTTTGTAGTTTGAAACTAACTTAAATTTAATACATAGTATATCTTTATTTATTTTACTAGAAAAAAAATATGTGACGATTTATGATAGTACTAGAGCAATACAAAAGTATACTTGACAAAATTACGTCAACCATACAGATAAAAACATGTCAAATTTAAAAATATAGTCTTAATACTAACTATTTAATACTTACTTGGGCCATTTTGATGTAATGTTAGGATATAACGTTGTATTAAATGTACATCTTTGTCTCAATACGCCTTGCCATAACTGGACGCCAACAATTCCAAATATAAAAAACACGAAGAAACATAACAAAAGGACATTGCCTAACATGGGCAACGTATCCAGCAGCAGCATCACCAATATTCTCATACCTAAAAAAGGGAAAAAATGATATAATAAAATAGTTATTTTGTTATAACTTTTTAATAAATATTTATTATAAAAGATGCTGCGTCATAACTAAAACGTCGGGTTACAGAGTTTTACGTAACAATAAATTTATATTTTTCGACATTATAAAACAAATACAAACTTTATGATTCTTTGTGTAGGTTGGGTAATTCTTTGTTAAGCTGGGTTAACAATAAAAAACAAACAACCAATCACGGCCGGTCTCGATGAATTTCAGGAAAGGTGGGAACTAATTTTTATAACACGGGCTTATATTTATCGTACTATTTGCAGAAATATTTTGCGAAATGTTTCACGAAATATTTTCAGAAATATTTCGTGAAACATATCGGGGATAGTGTAGCGGCTATTTAATACATAATAACATATCTATCATATTAAGAAATTGTTATGGTGAAGATTGATCTGACGGTAAGAATTAAGGAAACTGAATGGCATCAAAAATATGCTTTAAGGATTTAATCTAAATTTTAAATAATTATAAAAACAGTTTAGTTAATTTAACTGATATAATTTTGATTTGTATGTTTTCTCTCAAGATACAACGCCAAATTTAGCAGCAGTCTAATAATACACTTTAACTAATAAATATATTTGAATTGTAAATGGTAACCGTAACAGTCAAGTGGAGCTTATTTCACAGTCTTTTACTGAAATGATAATGACAAAATTTGGAAGGACAACAATGAAGCTCTTTTCGTTCATTGTAATAATGAATATTAATGTGTACGTAAGTGAGCTTTTTCCTTTTAATTTCGAAAGATCTATCTGTTTACTGAAGGTTTGAGAATATTGTGTTGTTGAACAAGTATAAGGAATTATATTTATGCTAAATTTGTAATACATTATGTAGTTTTTTATTTAACTATTCTATTATAATTAAAATCCCATAATGGTTGCTCAATCGATTTTATGCTTTTAAATTACCTTTATAAAAATAATGCATTCATTGTCATATTCAAACAGTTCTTAATTTAAGTCTTAATTATGCAACTGCAAGACCTTGCACACGGTAAATCACTTAATACTCTAGTTATAGAATTAGAAAATTTAACTTACATCAACGCACTAAGTGTATTATTTGGTGGTGTTTAATAGACACGATGATTTATTAACTAAAATGTGATTTATCGTTGTGAAATGTGAAACTGACAGCCTCTAGTCGAGCTAACCAACAGTTCTCATTGTTTTATACATTATTACACACGCCTATTATATTCTCCAGCAAAATGGAGATTAACTTAAGCTAAAAAGTTAAATGACATTCTGCAAAAAAGCTTTGTTATTCTCAACTGATGAACTAAAGTCAGGATATCTAACAATATTAAACCATTTTTCCATGTATAATTAAAGACGAAATAACAAGTAAAATAATAAATACTATATGGATCGAATGTACAAATAAGTAAGTAGAATTTGATATTCTACCTCAAACACTATGTTTTTGTCAACGATTTTATACATTTTTGATGGGTAATGACTCACTAGTATACTTTAAATATTTTCTTATTTTTATTACAAATATAGTAAACATTATCATGGTATAGATTATATATTCATATTTTCTCAATATATATAAAAGTCAAAACTATAATGAAAAGTCCAAACCGGCGATCGAGTATTTTTTTTATTATTTTCTGCACTTTTCTGATATTTTTCACTGAAAAACCCTATCCTTGTTTGATTATACTATCAATAATTATAATAATAATAGCTCCCGTATATAGCGTTTAACGCCTTGGGAGTAGCAAGGTACAGCTTGCTATACTAGAGCCGTTCGGTGTACAAGGAAGGTAATGTGGCTAGCACTACGCTTCAACCGCCTATTATTACCTCAGGATTGTGAATCCCAAGTACTCATTTAAGGCTGAGTCGACCTAGGTACCCAAACTATTTCTATTTTAATAAAAATAGTCGGCTGATGAAATGCCGAGTGTGGGAATAGAAACCCACACCTTGAGATTGGTAGACGAGAGCCTGTACCTCTACGCCACCGGGCACCTTTAGTATAATCAATAATTATACTATATATAAATGTCAATAGATAATAAAAGATATATTTTAAGATGAAATATTGAATTATTTGGATGTTTTAACGAGAATGTTACTATGTTATACAGGTTGTTTGTAAAAAACATATGCCATCTTTCCTGGGAAGATTCCTCGGATTTATTTTTCATACCAACATAGATCCGATTCAGCTTTGTTTTGTATCTACAAGGGGTTAGTCTCCGTTTTTTTCGATTTATTATAATTTTCTTCCAAGTGCTTTTAGTGATTGTACGCCACTAATGTTTTTCTTTTGATAGCAAAATTGTATAGTCTGTTTAATGCAAATTAAAAGTTGTATCTTGATAATTTATCGATTTCGATCTGCTTGATAAGATAAACGCAATTTTATTAATCACAATTAATAAAATTAAATTAAAAATAAAATTAATAAACTATTTATTTTATCTAATTTATTATTAAATATTATTACTGTTAGTTTTAATTATTATTAGTCCAACCTACTACAATTTTAAATAAAAAATATATAGAATTAAAGATAATTACAAAAGACCTAATTTTAAAAAGTTTTAACATCCTGCAATTTTAAAACTATGCATTTCCACACCGATATTTATAGGAACTTTTTTTATATTTTTTGATGAGGAATCAATGAATACTTATTTAAAACTTTTGCAAGTTAATGATATTATTTTTTTTAAATCGCTATTAGACTTGGATCAAAGCAAATTAATAAATAAACTTGCGTTTATTTCATCAAGAAGGCTGATGTCGACAAAGTTTCAAGAGACAACTTTTAATTGGCATTAAACGGCTTACACTATTTCTCTAATGAAAAAAAAAATCCAGTGGCGTACATTCTTTTTTTTAGAAAAACATTCCAGTGATAACTCATATGCACGTCCCTGGTGGATATGACGACACTTTTTTAGCATTAAAATATGTCGCATTGATAGTAACTTTTATCCTCAAAATTTCATTGAAATCGCTAAAAGTACATGGAAAAAAATTATAATAAATCGAAAACAAAGTTAGGACTTTAAAACCCTGTTGCAGTATTTTGGCAAACAAAGCACAATCGGACCTATGGTGGTATATAAAAACTAAATCTTATTTTTACGTGAAGAATCTCCCCACGAGAGATGGCACATGCTTTTTAAAAACACCCTGTATAGTGTGGAACTATTTTTTTAAATATATAAAAAAATTAAATCTAACTCTAATTAAATAGATACTTTTGATTAAACTTCTATCTCATCATAACTTATTAATGTATAATTTTCATTTTGTAATTTACAAAAATGTTTTTGCTCTCTCAATATTCAGAGACGATAAAATACCGAAAAGCTGTAAATACCTCTCAAAATTTTCTTCATTATGCAAATTATATTTAAAAATATGACCCTATATTTTCGCATAATTCTCGGTTGCAATAACAAAATTAGACCCTTGGCATAGAGATTTTTTCCAAAGATAAACAAAAGTCAAATCAAACAGGCAAACAACAATAACCCATGTTCTCGAAACTGCGAAATTGAGGAAACATGGTGCGATCTCTTAGCCCAAAAAATTGAATCCTATTTTGACGAATATAACTTGCGGTGGCTTTTTTGTGACTGTCGCCTTTTCCAAATATATAGAGCGCTATTGGGAAAAATCTGACGGCTCTATTAAATTTTGTTTATTTCGATGCCAGTGAGCGGCCGCTCTATTGACGAAAATCTGCCTTGAGGGAAAGGAAAGGCGTCGGCTTTATTTAAATATTGATTTTGACAGATAAATTGGGAAATCAAATCCCCATTGTACAGCTGCCGTTTGAGCATTTTCTTTTGTTTGTAATTCGAGTAAAATCCCGCTCTATTGTGCTTAATTTAATAAAAAAATATTTAAAGTTTAGAATGTTTGGTTCTAATTTTAACTATTTTTTCAGTAATTATACTACGCTACATTTTTTGCTGTTGTTAAAGTATCACATTTTCTGATAACTACACTCACCGGTAAAAAAAACGGCTACTAAAAACTGGTCCCAATTTCAAAGTTGGATTTCTCGCGAACCACTCATTAGATTTTGATGATTTTTTTTTCAATTGTAAATTAATTCCTTCTTAACGGATGCTACGTCAGCAATTTTTATTCCGAATTTATTTTGAGCGTATACAAGGCACAACAATAAGACGAACTTTTTTGCCCGAACTTTGTAACACCCTCTAGGGTGCAACAACTGCAGTAGCTATTGCTAAATCAAATCACATTGTAGCCCCATCTTTTGTGAGCATTTTATTTTTTTAATCACGACATTATCTCTGTTTGTATTGGAGATACGCTGCTTTAAACAAACGCATCGAAAAAAGCTGTAAAAACAAATCAAACATCAGAACGTAGGTAAGTTTAATCTGAAAACTAAAACATGAAAATTAAATAGAAAGGTAAAGGAAATTTTAAGAGACTAATATCTCGTGTCCACTCGCCTGGTGAAATTTCCCTTTTCCATATACCGATTCCAGGTATCCTGGACTGTTGTTTGAAATATACCCAGTACCCAGGGTATCGGAGACATAAGGTTGACTTCTCCCATCCCCAATTAAAGCCACAATACGAACAACATCCGTGACAGATAATAGCATTTTTTAATTTGACAGCCGTTGTTGTCATATTGCAAATACTCATAAATCAGTTTTCGCCTATGTCGTCTTGATTATTTATACATAAAACTTTCTGCCTGCGAAGCATTTTTCCGAGACGTTCGTTATAAAACAGCATATCTCCAATACAAAAAGAGATAATGTGGTGATTAAAAAAACAAAATGCTCACAAAAGATGAAGCTACAATGTGATTTAATTTAGCAATAGCTACTACCTCTGCTGCACCCTACAGGGTGTTACAAAGTACGGTCGAAAAACTTCGTCTGATTGTTGTGCCCTATATATGCTCAAAACAAATTCGGAATAA